TGCATGAAGCCCACATCCCTGGTGTTAAGAAGTCTCCTCGACGGCATATATCCTGGTATTCTCCTCTGATAGGATGTTGGAAGATTAATGTGGATGGTTCTGCAATTGGAAAACCTGGACCTGCTGGAATTGGAAGGGTGAACCGCGATTGCTCTGGCAAGGCTATTCTTATGTTTTCAAAGCACATTGGTCTAGCAGATTCAAATTTAGCTGACCTTTAGGCTGTAGTGGAAGCCTTATCGATCTTAGTAGAAGCAAAACCAAGTCCAGTGCCAAATCTCATTGTGGAAAGTACTCAAAAGTTGTTATCTCTTGGTTAAAGATGACAAATTATAGTCCTTGGAGATATACCGCGATTTTTAACAAATTCCTCAACCTCCTCGCAAGCATTGAAAATGTTTCTTTTGTTCATATTTTTAGAGAAGCAAATAGTTTTGTCGACTTCCTTGCTAAGCAAGGTGTGTTTCGTGATCGTGACTAGGTTGCTTGGTTGTAACTTGTTTATCTCATTTTACCAATAAAATGTCTCTCTAGCTTTTTTTTTTAAAAAAAAAAAAACTTATAATTTACTATTAATGGTTTCAAAATCAGAAAACAGAGATGTACAGATCTTATCATGAAAGAAATTTTAATCATCCTTTGTACCGTCATTTTAATTGGCTATCTAAGAAGACAAAAATACACTTTTTTTTTGCAATAGGTATAGCAATTTGGTGCTGAGTTCAAGTTTTTGGGGAATAAAACTTAGTGATGAGTTCAGGTTTTTAGGGGCAATTTGTGTCTCTTTCTATTTTATTAATCTCACATTTTTTTAATTTTTTGTTAAACTTCTTTGAATAGTTTTGATTTATTAATGTGCATCATATTTAACAAATACATTTATTTTTTAATTTTTTAATGAGAACTAAACTATAAATATTAATATTTTTTATAGGAAAAATCACTTATATTAATACAAACTGGCACAATCTTTTCAATAGTTTCCTTTAAGAACTCTGGACATTCCTGTACCCATATTACATCTTCTTCTAATTGTTCCCATACTTAGCTAGGTTATGTGCTGCCTTGTTGCTTTCACGTCTGGTATGCTTTATTTGGCAACTGTACATCATCCTTATGAGCTTCAACTTTTTCAAAATTACTACTTTTTATAAATTAATTGGAATTTGAGAATTGATTATTTTTGTCTTAAAAGTTTTTTTTTTTTTAAATTACAAATACAAATTACAATCATAATAAAATATTATATAATTTAATAATTAAACAAAGAAATTAATTAACAAATTAGAGCATAACTACATAAATCCAACATAAAATTGAAAGAAATCCACATACAATAAAACTTGAACCTTAAACCTCAAGATTCTAAACATTTATAGTAAAAAAAAACAACTTTTTATTTGTTAGGGGGGTCATTTTTATTTTTTTAAAAAGAACACCTATAAATTATATACATTATATTCGTATGTAATAGAGGGCATGAAAAATCTTGGGGAGGCCATGGCCCCTCTAGTTTCAGCATAGCTCCACCATTGATTAAAATTTTGTCTAATTTGAGGTTTTTTGAAACATTACCTCACAATATTCATTTAAATTTTTTTTTTTTTTTAAATTTCGAATTCTTGAGCCTGATGAATCGAGTCTTTAAAAAGTTGATTGCACTTGGGTTTATGCAGTTCAATTTATGAACACATCTATTATTAAATATAGTGACGAATTTAGAAATATTTAAGGACTGGATGTCCGCTTGTAATATATTAGTTTTTGGCACGTGTGTGAAGTACATGTAATTTTATCTCTAAAAATTTATTTTAATAAATAATTTTTTATATTATGATAATAATAATAATATATCTTAATAGTTGAATTTTGATTTTGGTAAATATAAGTAAAATTTGATAATTTTTATATAATTTTGATTTCGATAACCATTGATATATTTTTGTAAGCATTGTTAATAGTTTTATATCCTTTGATAAAATTTGGGTAACTTTCGATATAATTTTGATAACTTTTTATATCAGTACAATAATTTATGATATATTTTTTTTAACCGTTGATACTAATTTTATAAATTTTTTATAAAATTTTGATAACATCTTAATGTAATTTAAGTAACTTTTTATATAATTTTGATAATTTATGATAAACTATTAGTAATTATTGATAAAATTTATGCCATCATATATCTAACAATTGATTCCTATAGAAAAAGCGAGCTTCATTCTAGTAAAAGGTAATTTTTTTTTTATAAAATAACATTATTGTTTTATTTAAATGTAAAATTTTTTACTAAATTTTTTATTAAATAGGTTTATGTTAGGTTTATCCTAAACTCATGAGAGGAAAGTTTTGTTTTGTTTTTGTTAATAACCAAAGTTCAATTCTTGACAACTTCTAGTATACAAAAAATTATCAATAATTGATAATTAAATTATTGATGATTTACTACTAAATTGATGATGATATATTATAAAATTATAATTTATTTACTACTAATTATCGATAATTTACTATAAAGTTATCAATAATTAACTAATTTATTATTAAATTAATATTGATTTATAATTAAGTTTTTAGTGATTTACTATTACTAAATTATCAATAATTTACATTTACTATTACTAAATTATCAATAATTTACTAATATGTTATTATGTATTTATTGTTATGTTATCATTTGTTGACAACTTAGTTTTCAATTATTTATTATAAAATTATCACATATTTATATTAAATTATTCATAATTTATAATTAATTTATCATTGATTTATATTAAATTATCCATGATTTTTATTAAATTATCATTAATTAATTATTAAATTATCAATAATTTACTACTAAATTATATTATTTTACTTTTAAATGTTCAATAATTATCAACTAAATTATCAATGATATTCTTTTCTCAGCGAAATAATTGATTTTATTCATAATAACAACGGCAAGACAATAGGCTTCCCTTGGTACTAGCAGAGAGCTTTCCACTCCAACATCACCGCCCTGTATTATTTATTCAACAAATACCCCTATATCCATTAAAGTTAGGGGTGAAATAGCTTAGAGGATTCAACACCCAACTTAACAAGGGATTTTGCATAGTGATTAGCCTTCTTATAAATGTAGACAAAATATTCATTATTACCCAATCCCACTGTAACTCCTTCACAATGACGTAACATGTCTTCAACAGCATTTAGTATCACCCAATCCCAGGCCCAGCAATTGGAAACAGAACACCACACAATCCAAGCAATATGGCATGAAACTAAGATATGAGGGCAATCCTCTTAAAAAACTTATACGCCATTGACTCACACATTAATCTTCCTCAAATCTAGCTCCTCTAGTACTTAGAAAGCACTTCGAAAGAACAGAATTTAAAATAACACACTAAAGAAAACTTTGGACTTTTGGAGGGACGTGGTATATCCGAATAGTCTAAGAGATGTGCGCTATCCTTACTCTTCAAATTTACTATATTTATCATATTTTCCTTTTGAACATCATGTTGGACCTGAAGCAATAAATACAACAATACAAAAGCAATATATCGCAATAAACTCACAATAATAGACAACAATCAACAATCAACAACGCAAAAAAAATAAAGCATATTAAAATTTATGTGAAAAACCCTCCAATGTAAAAAAAAAAATCACAAACTACCAGAAAAATCTCCACTATCAAATAATGGATATACAAAGTTCTTCTCTAGCTAAAACTAGAGCTAATCAATAACTAGAAAGACAATTGGAGAAATCTTACCAAATAAGTAACTCAATAAATACACATTGGATTTGTTCCTAGAGAGCTTCAAACTTGATCTTCACAGTTTTTAATGTAAAACTCTAAATCATAAACTTATTGATAAAGTTTCAGCTCAATCGGACTACGGATCAATTTTCGTTCAATCAACTCTCCTTTCTTTTTTTTCTCTCTATTTTACTAGCTTTTCTTCTTTCTCTTCTTGGTTTTGCCACACCACCTTAAAATAACCTCACCTCTTTTTATTAAGTAGCTAGGGCTCTATATAAAAAGAAAGACTAAAGCTCATGACCTTTGATTGGTCTAAAACCAATTACATGGGGCTGAACCCCATTTTCCTAACAATCTCCTCTTCTAGACCGATTAGGAGGAGATTCATCACCATAACAATTTCATTTGAAACTTATATTGACTAAGAAACTCATTCCGACAAAGTTATTACTAATCATGCATTATTAGGGTTCAAATTAATAGGGCCTATGGGGTAAAAGTCCAAGTTCCATAAAAATGTAACCTGTTTGAAAACATTTTTGTAACTAGAAAAGAAAGATCATACCAATTATTTTTTTTGGATCAATTAGCATTTGAAAATTACAGGTTTAAAGAAACTTAGTCATGTAATGTCATTTCAGTCGGTAAATAGTAAGATAGAGAATTTAAAGGTAAATTAAGAATTAAAAAAAGAAAAAAGGGAGAGATCATCTTTCTAACAAAATAAAATTAAAAAAAAAGGAAACCCAAGTTTTAACGAACAATGACCAATTGCTAGCCAATTCAAGAATGAACGAATCAGCAATGGACTTTGTGAGAGGAAAAATAAATAATAAAGGCCCAATCAAAGATCTAAAGTTGCCCAAACTATTTCTACAATCAAGACAAAAAGCCCAAACACTGAAGGCAAACCATTCATTTAATACAGTATAAAAGGGCGTTTTCCGGGGTTGTCCCTTTCTTTCCCCTTCCCTCAAACAGTAAAACCCGACTACTGTTAGTACGGCAAAATCCACCGTAGATCCATCGAACAATGGTTGGGGTTTTTGAAGTCGGCGCAGTCCCATTTAACCCCGACGGCTGGGGGCCACCCGACTCCACCACCGTTAGCACGCCGACGACCACCACGACCACCCTCCCTCACCATAGCGCCATCCTCTGATCTTTCTCCTAGTTATTTTTTCCTTTCCCTCTAGCTGGCCCCTGACCGGATCCATCGGCATTCGATCTCAGATTCTTTTCAATAGAGACTCTGTTTCCAAGGAATCAGTCCTTTCTGAACCACCAACTCAATCTCTTCCAAGTAGGGGCTGACCTGCGTTGCATCTCCAGAGCAAAGACACCGAACGAGGGGGGAGTGGGGGCTCGTGCTCATAAAAAAAGCCTGCACCACCAAGCTACAGCCGCTCTGTTGACTAGAAGAGTCTACTTTTCAGTCAAGTCGCTTGAGCCCTCACTCAGCAGAAGATGTAAGATGGAGAGGCTAACTTCACCGATCAGTTTAGTCCCATTAAAATTCAACAAAAATATGCAATATTTTTTACAAAGGTAATTACTTGTGTTGAACTGGTGATTGTAATGGATTGATGACTGATTTGAGATTAAATTTGAGTTTGTTAAGGCTAGATTGAGGTTGATGTCAAGTTTTTTTGGGGGGCTTTCAATTTTTTTATTTTGATTTTCTAACAAAAAAAATGGAACAGTGGCAATAATAGTCCGTTAAGATCGCTATTCGCTGCTACAATATTTTTTTGCGGCCGTCACACTCTGATATCTATAAGATTCAAGTTCTCACCTGATATTTTTCAAATAACAATGGCAGGTGGTGGTGTTACCGCAAAATTACGGCTATTACACCACAACTGCACCGCTCTTTGAATCCATGCTTGTAAGTAATAATGAAAAGAAAAGTCTAAACCTGAAAGGTGAAAGGTGGTGTTAAGATGGAAGGAAAGAAATTGATCAAATGGTTTTTCTTTTGAATAACACACCACACAGTCATTATCATTTTTATATGTCAAATTGCATGACTCGATCATCAAATTAACTAAATAATTTTTAGGCTTTCTATAAACACTTAATTAATTAGGGTTATATCCTTCCAACAACAAGAAAAGGAGGCCGGTGGAGTTATATCCTTAAATAATGTTGATTTTTTTTTAATTTTTTGATTGAAAATAAATAAAAAAAATTTAAATTATAATTCGAAATTGAACCCTACAAATTTTCATGTGGTCCTACGTGTGAAAGATTCTATGATTTTTCACATCCCAATCAAAACGAATAATATATGTTTAACTATTTTTTTAACTCGTACAATGTACGGGATTTTTTATTAAATTTTTCATAATTTTAGATTTATTTTTTAATTATTTATCTAATATATAATAATATATTTATAAATGCTAAGTTACAATTAAATAATAATTTATACATAATATATTATAAATGATATTGTTCATCTAAAAAAAATCTAAATTTTTGTAAATTTTTAAAAATTATAAAAATCTTTTTTTCATTAAAAAATATATTCTTCAATTTATTTGTTAAATACTAAAAATTTTGCTACTGTTTTTTTCTTATTTTATAAAAAATCAAGAATCAATATTTAAATAGTTAAAATTAATAATTATTTTTATCATAATGTTGATTAAGTGGTGTATATATATTTGGTTGAACAACAAATCACAATTATTAATTTTGTTATAATTATTTGCTTTTTATTAGTTATTATTTTTTACATACTTCAAGTAATTATTACACAAACATATTGGGTTAACAATTATTTCTATATATGTCAACAAAATAAAGTTATTTTTTAGATAAAAGGGAAACAATAATTATTTATATTATGCTTAAAAAAAATTTTAAAATATTTTTTATTTTTAATCATTTTTAATATAATTGATAGTATTTTTTGTGAGTTAGATATGGTAGTGATTATCATTATTCTCATATTATTCATTGTAGACAAAGAAATTCAATAATAAAAAGTATAAAAAAAAGAAATAGTGAATATAAATTTACATATTAATTTGTCAAAATTAAATATATACAATAATAAAAGAAAATATGTTAATAAATTAATAGAGAATAAAAACATTGAAGAAATGAATAAAAAAAATAAATATATAATAAAAAAGTTAATTATAATCAATTTAAGAAAAATTTAAAAAAAAAGTTATGGACTAAAGAGAAACAAATAAATTAACCAAATATATAATACAAAAATATTTAAATTAGAACATAAATAAAATATTATTTTTTTAAAGCAAAAACGTATTTTTATCAAACTTTTTTAACAACATTCAAATCTCTCGTATTTTCATATAAAGATGTAAGCTTTTATTACTTTAAAAATAAATATTTTTTAGTCAATAATTCATTAACTTATCTAAAATTATTAAATTTAAATAATCTATTAAATAATTTTTAATAGATTTTGATTTGAATTTAAATAATTATCTAAAAATATTAAATTTAAATAATTTATTAAATAGACTTTATTTGACAGAAGATAAAATTTTATTAAGTATAAATATTTGGAACTACCATTAAATTTATAAAAAAAAAGATAAATTTTTTTGAGCAATTGGAGTAATTGGATAAAGTTTGAGTAATGTTCATGTTCTAAAAGTTCATTGTTTTATGTGAACATGATTGGTTAAATAGATAAGGATTGAATATTTTGTTTAAAAAATTTAAATTTGATTTTCGTTATTAATAATAATTTTTTAATAAACAATCTATAAATGCAAAATAAATAATCGTTAAAACTAGTGATGTGCATGAGATAATTTTCCATCACTTAAACTTTAATAAAAACCATTATTTCATGTAACTAACTACTCAATTACTATTCAAAAGCATATCAAGATTATTTTGCTCTTCAACTCTTAATCATATAGATTATATATTAATACATACAAGAACTGGTGCAAGCGTTGGAATATAAACTAATTAACTATATTTCTTAGCCAACGAGTTGCCTTAATATTATCAGTCAAGAAACAGCCTGCACCAGTAAATATCAAAGAATTCACGAGATAATCAAACCAAACAAATGATGATAAAACTAACAAACAAACAAATAGTATTTACAAACAATACCAAACTGATTTCGCCAAATGTACCTCCTGAAAAAATTAATGATTCTGCATTGTGCTTTTCTATCTAAGAACTGATGACTTGGTCTTGAGTCAGACTATAATATTTTGTCAAAATCACAAAAAGAAAATGAAAATCGGTAAATTTCAATTAAAGTCGTGGCCTATCAAGTTTTTTTTTTTTTTAGTTATAAAGTGGCTAACGAACTTGATAATTTATTTATTTATTATTATTATTATTATTTATCTTTTTTTTAAGAATATTATTTTATGCATCTCATTGCATGACTAAATATAGTTTTTGTTCCTTTTACAGACACTTGATAATCCTGACCAAAAAAAACAAAAACACTTGATAATTAATTAGCTAGGTTTATTTCCTTCATTCAAAGAAAAGAGGAGGGATTTATATCCTTAAATAATGAATTTTTAAAGTTTTTTATTCAAAATAAATTAATTAAAAAGCACATTAGAATTGAAAATTGAACCCTATACACATATTGGCAAGTCATATTTTTTTAGTTTATGTGAAAGCTTCCATGATTTTTTTCATTACAATGGAAACACAAACACATATAATATATATATATATATATATATATATATTCAAAATGAGATAATTTTTCTTCACCTAAACTTTTTTCAACAAAAAAAATTATTAGCAGTTAATCTAACTACTCCACTCTTTTAAGATTGGAAAGCATATCTAAATATTATATATTAATACCTAGAAGAACTGGTGCAAGTGTTCCAATATAAAATAATTAATATTCATTTTCTTTACCATATTTAATGTGTTAAATTTACAATTTTAATCAATTTCTTTACCATAAAGAAAAATACAAAACAATATCCAAATCACATAAAATAACACCACACAGAAATTTATTTATTCTCAAATTAAAGTGCATGATATGCCACAGCGCTATGCATGCAGTTTACATGTTTATTGTAATTATATCTTATTTAAAATTATTAGGTCTAATTAATGTAAATTTAAGTTATAAGCCTATCTTTGTATTTTGAGATAAGGGCTAAAATTTTAACTCTACTTAAGATGATAAGCTATATTTATCACCAAATTTTCAATAAGTGCAATATTAACACTACTAGTTTGTGACCCTTGCAATACATGAATTATTCTATTTATTTAAATATGTGTTTACACTGTAAAATTTATATTTTTCTTACAATTATATCTAAGTTTAAAATTTTATGAAAAATATAAAATATAAATATATATTCAATTAACATGTCATAAGAATATTAAACTTTGCTATTATTATCTTGATCAAAGTGTTGAAAATAAATGTGAAAAATAAGAGATATTAGATATGGATCAAAAAGTGAAAAAACATTGAATATAAATATAATATTGGTTTTTTAGGAAAACATAAATATTGAATGATCAATTAAATAATAAAAGAAGTATCCACATACTTTTACTAAATTACGATTTTAATCAAAATATTAAAAAATAAATCAAGAAACGTATGACAAACAAAAAATTTTTTGAATAAAACTAATGTCAGAAGAAGAAATCATCTAAATAAAATAAACAATAAAATTATGAAAACAATATAAATCTTAAAGGAAAATAGAATACGGAAAAAAATGATGTAGAACAAATTATTAATTATTAATAGACTTAAAGTGATATATGTTTTTTGAATTTAAAAAAATAATAATAAAGTATTTAAAAATAAAAAAAGCGATATATGTGATTTTAAATTTAGGAAAAATAATTTTGTTTTAATTATGTCTTTTTCATATTTATAGTAAAAAAATCAATAATTTAATTTGCTTTTAAATTTATCAATATTTAATTAAAGATTAGTTACTTGGTTAATGAATATTTTGTCATGTATTATTATCTTCTTATTTATGTAATGTCAATCTAACCCCAAACTAAAGTTTAAATTCACCATCTATATAAAAAATATTAATTTCATCTATTTTAGTCTTAATTATTTTTTGAAGGAATTTTATATATCATAGGACATATGGAAACATTAAAAGATTATTATTGTAATGCGAATAAAATATAACTATAAGTATTATATGTTATTATTGACTTATAATCTTATTTAACTTATTAAATAAAGTCTTTTTTATAACTCTTAACTTAATTTATACACTTAAAAATAATTTAAAATGAATGTTGATTATATATTTATTTTACACGATGAAATTATAACAATGCATATCTTTCATGCAAGCATTTAGTTTTATTGACTATCATACAAAAATCAATTAATTTAAAATAAAATATTGAAAACATATATTACAAATATAATAATAAAAATGCACTATTTAAATATATTCATGCTTTACATAACATATAATAATAAATAAATAAATAAATGAAGTCCAAAGGTTTAAAATTGTTTTACAATGTACTTATATAGTTTAAATGCAAGATAAATAATATTTACATGTTTTATATAAAAATACTTAGGTTAATTTTAAATGAGATTTTATTTTTATTTTTCATTGGAATGATCTCAATAATCTTATCTCACTTAAATGAATATAAAGATTATAAATTATTTAACATAAAAAATTTGGATAAATATAATTTTTTATGATTTGAAATATCTTTTAAATTTAAATAATATGATTATTTAGTGATCAATTACAATTAAAGAACTATCCTATGTGTCAATAGTATAGATTGTCTGCATAAGATTACATGCAAGCAAACCTTATCAAATAAGCATATATGCTGTAATATAATATTATATATAATTTGATTTAAAAAAATAGATACAAGTCTAAAAGAATTTGAATAAATAAACAGTTACAAAATAAAATTTAAAATTAAAATAATAAGGGAAAAATATATAAAATAGTTATTGTGGTAATTTTCAATGCTCTAAAAAAAATTGTACCTTAAGGGGAAAACCACAAAGCTAACATATTCTCAACCAAACTGACAGCAAGATTTTACCTGATAATACGGAAATACAAATTAATTTTGTTTGAGCCTCAAGGACAATAATATTAATTTTAATTCTTAATTATTCACTTCTAATGGATTTTGTAAATTATTTTACGTCATCTTCTTTACCAAATTAAAACCTATTTCATATTTGATGTGCTAAATTTACATTTTTAATCTATTTCTTTACCATAAAGAAAAATACAAAATAATATCCAAATCACATAAAATAACACCACACATAAATTTATTTATTCTCAAATTAAAGTGCAGGATATGCCACTGCGCTATGCATGCAGTTTACATGTTTATTGTAGTTTAATAATAAGAAAAAAAACATTGCTTCCATGAAGGAAGCACAATTTTATTTAGTGGATACAGCACACACACAGATAAAGCACGCACAATCCTTGTAATTCCCAAATTGTGCCCAAGTGGAGTTTTGAGTATTTTCTCAGTTCGTGATCTTCTCTTCTTTGGTTTCAAAGTGGAAGTTGTAGTAATTAGAACCAGTGAAGGTGCCGCCTTGCACTTCAGTCGTAACAGTGGCTCCATTATAAAGAGTGTCTCTTTGCATGAATGTGAAGGGAACATCACACTTACCATTTGTTGCAATTAGATGTACCGTCACCTTAGTCATTGGAGGCACAGTAACTTTGTGGACAACTTCCACAACAGAGGTTGATGTCGTGGTCTCTCCCCACTCGGTAGTTGATTGAACTTCACCGGATAATTCAACTTTTCCCTCAAAAATGAGTGGAAGGCCGACGTCGAAGGTGGTTTTCATACCTAACTTTAGCGAAAACATAGTCTTCCACGAACTAGTCTTGGTATCTGTGTAGGAAAGTTTCACGTCTAAAGTGCTAGATTGCTGGGTATAGTTATCTGCAGAATTCTTGGCAACAAGGAGGACTCTTTCGTCGTAGACCCTAGAATTATCAAGATCATATTTGACATTATAAATGTCCCTTGTCAAGACAGGCTCCTCCACCGTTAGCTGGGCCTCTTTGGTCACACTGGGGACGGCTGCATTAAGGCAGTTCGTCTTTCCCTCGGTTGTGAGGCGCTTGCAGAAATTATTGTTGCCCAAGTTAAGAAGACCAATTGTCGTATTGTTAACTATGACGGGGCGAAACAAGGTGTCCTTGTTGTTACTGCTGACGTCATTAGAATCCGCCCAAATCCAATTTGGGCTGCGCCTCCAAAATTTATCGGAAGAAATGGTCTTGATGCGGACGTCTCCATCATTAGTGTTGAAAACCTCGCATGGCACGGATGAATCACCAATATCATTAGTTGAAAACTGCAAATATGGGTAACCCTGGATCTGACGAAGACACAGATACTGATCATTATCTCCTTTGAATGCTACGTACCTAGGGAGAATCACCAACGACTGCCAATCAATAATTGTGAAGATGTCGAGGCTATTATGATCATAGACTTTGTAATTTGCCAACACGCAGCGAGCAAATTTTTGATTGTTAAACCGCCATAAGCATAAATAGCATCCTGATTGGACGTCCATAATTCGAACCGCATTTGTTGCAGGGTCTACAGAGATAGGCTTGAACAACGTGCACGACTCCTTGGATTGGTCTTCCTCCGGCTTGACGGCGGTTGCAGTAATCCAGTATTGCTCCGCTGGATTTCCAGTGATTGAAAGATTTTTGGTTCGTACCCAATATTTATTGTTTTGACAGCTCCTTATGTGCACCAAGCCATTAGTGCTAGCAGTCTCCACTTCGAATCTTGCATATGGACTCACAGCCTGGGTTTCCATGAACCGGATATACCCATTAGACTCCCCATCATCATGGATGTAGCCCAAGTAATCGATCTTGTCATTGGATTTGAGGACGATATACCTTGGCAATGCCAATGTTAAGGCCAAAGCCATGTTTCGCTAGCTCTTTGAATTTGCTCTCTTGGTGTTTTTCACTCTTGTGCTTGCTTATCACAACCACCTACGTTACCTATTTATATCCAAAATTTCTTTATTCCTTTGGAATTGGATGATAGCGGAGCGTGCATGTGATTATGTGAAACATGTGCATCAATTCCGACCATTAACACTTCATTATCCTTTTTTTTTTTTTTTAAATTTCTTTGCTCTGCATTTATCCCGGAGCCTTGCACCAAAACAAAAAATACGTTTTCAATTATTTTAATTCGATGGACCAAATTTTATGAAATTACCCAAAAGAATTGTGCCGAAAGAAATATAAGCATAAAACACATACAAATTTACTCACATTCTATTATAATAATTTACAATTAGGTAAAGTTGAACATCCTTTCTCTGATTTTCTAAATTTTATAATAAAATAATTATTTTTTACGTTGAAAGCAATTAAAGATGGTTTAGAAGCTCTGAACGCCACCACCTGTTTCTAGGCCGTTCCAATTCTAATTCATTAAAAGCTATGCATAAAGAATAGGAAAAAAAATTTCCCTCTATATTTTTGTTTTCAAACTGTTCGGCAGCATGAGCTCCGGTGCCAACCTTGGAGCAGCTACGCTTGCATACAACACCCATGTAGTGGTTGCATGTGTCCCTTTTACTTGTCTTCTAACCCATCCTTTTTTGTTGTTCTCTGTTGCTGGTTGTCCAAGATTTACTTGTTTCAATTTTGCTTATGTCTATAATTAACAATAGAGCTAATTTTCAAGATTTTGTATAATTAAATTTGGTGATTATAATTTTGGAAATGGAGATGATTAATTGAAAGACAGAATATAATAACTTAATAATTATGAAATTACCAACTAGAAAGATGCTTTTTTAGGGGTTTTGAAATGATGATGTTGGATTGTTTAAGTTTTTTATTTATTTTGATTAATAATACATCAAATATTAATCACTTATACATTAATATCTCAAAAATTATTTTTTAAGAATAAAAACACTTTTTTTAATTAAAAACACTAAGTATTTTTTATGAGTATTTTAAAAAACGTATAACATATTTTCCTTAGACTATATCCTCAAATAATGTTGATTTTTTTGAGGTTTTTGATTGAAAGTAAATAAAAATATTTTAAATTGTAATTTCAAAATTGAAACCCTACAAATTATTGACAGGTCCTGATGTCATGGGGTCCTACTTGTGAAAGATTCCACGATTTTTCGCATCCCAATCGAAACGAATAATTAACATAATATTATTTTTGAGGAAACGACGTGATCCCTTTTTGATGATTAAGTAAGATAATATTTCGAGATGATAATATTTAATATTTAATATTTAATATTTATTATATATTTGTCACCTGTCGCACTTATGGACAAAATGACAGACCAATAATTAACTACCTCCGTTGTTCTCTATAATATTTATGGTTAATAATTTAATATATTCATGCATGTGTGAATTATCTCATCCAGAATGGTCAAGTAGTGGGAAGCAGCTTCTATAGGTGTACACGGGGTCATTGAGGCTTGTATTATTGAGGCGATTGCAAGCAACCAAAAGCTCTAGATGTAGCTCCTACAAATGGGATTCAGACAGATCGTTATGGAAGGGGACTCTTGGATAATCCTAAAGCCTCTACACAGAAAATGAAGTTTTGCTGCAATACTAAGTGCATTCATACAAGTATAGTAAAGAATATATCAAAAGAATTGATATATGTCAGATTTGCACACAAAAGGAGAAAGGTAACAAAGCAGCCCATACCCTGGCTAAACATGGTCCACAGGTTGAAGAGGACATGCACCCGATTGATGAGTTTCCTGATTTTAACTCTAACTATTGATGGACATTAATCAGTTAAATCAATGAAGTTCTACTAGTTTGAATTAAAAAAAAAAAAATACAGCTAGCAAACCCATATAACAACAACAAATTTCCTTTGTCCTGGGTTGTAATATGATAGTACTGATGTATAGAATTCACATATATTATATATATCATGTTGTATATAGAAAAGAAAGAATCGAAATCATGTTAGGAGATTAGATTTTGAAATTATTAGCTCCGCCTTCTGGAATAGAGATGAAGAGATCATCTCGATGGTTAGGCGATCCTCACGTTTGGTTTGCTATGCGAGTTCTTGGAGAAATTTGATAAATTTTGAATATTATTCATATTCTAAAAGTTCATTGTTTTATGTCAACGTGATTGGTTAAGTAGATAAAGATTGAATAT